GAAGAGTATTGAATGTACCATGGACTGCCAAGAAAACAAACAGATTTATCCTAGAGAGGGTTAAACCAAGCTGCTCCTTGGAGGCAAGGATTCTGGGGCTTTCGTCTGACATACTTTGGACATGTTGCCAGGAGGGACGGGTCCTTGGAGAGGGACATCATGCTTGGGAGGGTAGAGAGACAGCGCAGGAGGGGAAGACCCTCTCTGAGATGGATTGATTCAGTGACTGGGGTAATCAGGATGGGTGTGTCAGAGGCAATACGGTTGGCACAGGATAGAGCAGGGTTTAGGGCTGTTGTACATAGGGTCGCTATGAATCGCAAACGACTCGACGGCACATAACAACAACAACATCTGTATCTCAGGTTCTATGATGAGAAGGCATGTATTTAAACAATTTCATAAGGTTTTTTTAAAAAAATAATTCTTTAGTTTTTCATATTTTAATGTTTAAATTTATAGTATGCTAAATAAATATCGAGCAAATATAACTCTCTTACTGCCAGGGAGGAGGAGGAAGCAGATAATGTGCTGTGCACATCCTTCAGGGCTTGAGATTCCTCCCATAGGGACTTTATCTTGCTGTTAATTGAGAAGCTGTCTAGGTTCAAAGATTGTATTTACTGTTAAATAAAAAGAGCTGCAGCCAGAAAGTTTAAAGAGCCGAACTCACTCAGCATTTCTCAAACTGAGGGAACTGAAGAACAGATTTAAGGCTCAAGTTGGGTTACTGAAAGATGCAGTGAGCAAAATCTTAAATGATAAAGGAATCAACAAAAGATGGAAGGAATACATGGAGTCACTGTACCAGAAAGAATTGACTAACACAAAACCATTTTATTAAGTACCATATGATCAAGAACCAGTGGTGATAAAAGAAGATGGCATTGTAAAAATAAATAAAGCCCAAGGAATTGATGGAATACTAATTGACACATTTCAGCAGACATGCAACCATGGACATGCTCACAAGGTTGTGCCAGGTAATGTGGAGGTCAGATATCTGGCCAGCTGACTGGAAGAGATCCATATTTATGCCATCCCCAAGAAAGGTGATTTAACAGAAAGTGGAAATTATTGAACAAAATCATAAATATTACATACAAGCAAAATCTTGAAGATTATCTGAGAACACCTAGAACAAGATCTGTATCTAGACTAGAACATCTAGTAAACTGGCAGAGAATTACCAGAAATACAAGCCAGATTTATAAGAGACCATGGGGTTAGAAATATCACTGTTGGTGTCAGCTGAATCTTGACTGAAAGCAGAGAGTAACAAGAAGGATGTCTACTTAGGTTTCATCCACTATGCAGAGGCATTTGACTATGTGGATCATAACAAATTATGGCTAACATTGAGGAAAAATGGGAATTCCAGAATACTTGATGTGCTCATGTAAAACTTATATCTAATCAAGGAACTGTCATCTGAACAGAGCAAGGGAACAGTGCGTGGTTCAAAATCAGGAAAGGAGTGTGTCAGGGATATAACCTTTTCCCATACCTTTTCAATCTATATACTGAATAGATCATTCAAGAAGCTGGACTTTACAAAGACTCAACAGCTTAGCATTAAGCAGATAACACTACTTTACTCACTGAAATTGAGAACTTGCGGTGCTTGTTGTAGAAGATTAAGGACTACAGCTTTCAATATGAGTTGTATCCCAACATCAAGAAAACAAAAATCTTCACCACTGGATCAATAGTCAGCATCATAATAGATGGAGAAAGGATTGATGTTAAAGTCATCACGTTTTTGACACCAACAGTCAGGAAATCAAAAGAGTTGCATTGGGAAAATCTGCTATTGAGTATCTCTCCAGAGTGATAAAGAGCAATTATGTCTAAAGACAAAGCTTCTTCTCAATTGTTTCCTGTGCATCTGGTAGTTGGACAGTAACTATGGAAGGCAGAAGTAGAACTGATAACTTTGAGTTGTGTCAGAGAAGAGTATCAAACATCCCATGGACTGTCAAGGGAACAGATGGTTCTCTACCGGAGAGGGTAAAACCAGATTGATCCTTGGAGGTAAGGCTTTTGAAGCTCTTCTTCCATACTTTGGGACTGTTGTCAGGGGGAGCCAATCCTTGAAGAAGGAATTCATACTTGACAAGGTAGAAGATCCTTCCCACAAGAGAGGAAGATCCTCAACAAGATGCATTGACACAGTGACTTTGGCAGTGGGGCCAGTTGTATTGGAGATGGTAAAGTTGTCTTATGTTCTACCTAGAGAAGGAGGGCACCCTTTAGAGGTCCATGTGGAAGCTATAATGAAAGCAACTTGAGTATTAATGATAAAAAGCAGCAGAACCACCATAGTGCTCGGAATTGTTGGTAGTTCCCCCCCTTCATTCTTTATTTTGTAGTCTTATCTACCTTCTGTGTCTGTGTATTGTGTTGTTATGTGCCGTTGAGTCACTTGCGACTCTTAGGGACTCTATGTAAAACAGCCCTAACCCCTGCTCTGTCCTGTGCCAATCTCACTGTCTCTGACACACTTACTCATTACAGCAGTCACTGAATCAGTCCATTTCATAGAGGGCCTTCCCCTTCTGCACTGTCCCTCCACCCTCCCAAGCATGATGTCCTTCTCCAAGGACCTGTCCCTCCTTACAACATGTCCAAAGTATGTCAGACGAAGCTTCAGAATCCTTGGCTCTGAGGAGCAGCCTGGTTTATCACTCTCCTAGCAGTCAATAGTATATTCAATACTCGTCTCCAGCACCACAGCTCAAAGGTATCAATTCTCCTTCTATCATCCCTAGTCATTGTCCAGCTCCCTGGTGCATAGCAAGTGATTGCAAAAGACCATACAACAGCTCTCTGATACACCTACCTCCATTGCCCCAGGTACTGTATTAATGTCTCACCCAGGGTCGTCTTCTCCTGTGTTGTCCCTCCACCCTTCCGAGGAGCATGATGTCCTTCTCAAAGGACCAGTCCCTCCTGGCCATGTGCTCAAAGTATGTTTGACGGAGCTTCAAAATAATACAATAAAGAAAACATTTGAAATTTATGACTTTTCTTAGTATTTTTAATTTAGTGGACAATTTTCAACTCTTTGAAGGAAAGTCAAGAAAATGAGAGGATAAATAAGATCTCTGTCAGGTTGATGGGGAAAACCCCACAAAGCCAGAACAAAAGTCTCATTGCAACTCAAAACTTCAAGCCCATCTGGAGCTAGATCAGATTGTGCTCATTGCTGAGGAGTCAGAACTGACTCGTAATAGCCAACCCTCCACCAGGTTTTAGGGAGGCTGTATATAAAACAAAAGGAGATTGTCCATCTTCTTCCTTGGAACTGCCAGTAGAAATTAGCTACTGCCAGTAGTAGATTAGCTCTGTCAGAGAGGCACAGACTGCCGGTTAGCAGTACAGCTTTCTGGGTTACACCACCAAAATTCCATATTTCAGAATTAAAGAGACTCTCTCTCTCTTTTTTTTGAAGTTGTATAACTTTAATTCCATCTGTACTTTTCACATATTATTTTGGTAGAGGAAAATAATATTTTTCCGGTTTCAAAACATCCGAAAAAACTTGTACTCTCTCTCTCCTTTTCTCCTCTTTTTTAAATTAATTTTAATGGAAGTTTACAGAGACTTAGTGTTTCTAGTCATTCATTGTTGCACTTTTCTCCCTGTCCACCGCCTGCCCCCCGAACCACTCTTCTTGAAAAGAAGAAAAACTCTTTCATTGTTATGCAGTTCCTCCCCCAAGTTCACTTCTCTATGCAGCCTTTACTCTGGACTTCTGTAATGATAAGAATACCCATTCATACGTCCTTTTAAACAATTCTCTCCCTCATCTATTGCAATGCAATATATATACATCATTCTTCCCTTCCTTTTCTGTCTTCCCTCAAACCTAATGACAGTCCTGTTTTACAACAGTGGGCCCTATGAAATATTTGTCCTTTTGTGACAGATATTTCACTCAGCATAATGTCCTCCAGGGTCATCCATTTTGCATAATATTTCATGAGTTCCTTGTTTTTCAATGTTGCATAGTATTCCATTGTGTGAATATAACACAGTTTCCTTATCCATTCATTTGTTGATGGGTACTTGGGTTGTTTCCAGCTCTTTGCTATTGTGAACAAAGCCACAATAACATGGGTATGCAAGAATTAAGGAGTCTCTTAACCCAGAAAACCAAACTCTGTTGTCGAATCAGTTCCAACTCATGGTGACCCTATTGGACACTGGAAAGCAGAATTTATGGAAGCAGACTTTCTTTGTAAGGCAGTTGATGGGCTTGAACCATTAACTTTTTGATTATAGTGGTTAACATCTAACACTGTGCTGTCAGTCCTCAGTTACATACACGTTCAGTTACTAATAGCTGGCAGTTTAGACTTAGAGGCACTTTGGAAGACAAGCCCCCAGTACTGTGCTTCTGAAATATCAGTCTTGAAAACCCAGTCAGTCAACAAATATTTACAAGGACTTCTTCCATGTGGTTGGCACTGTGTCTCTGGGAATATAGTGATAAACTTTGAAGTTTGTTGTCAGAATATAGTAATATGTTAACTGTTCAGAAAGATAATGTAGACAGGCAATCTATTAGATTATAGATGTAATCTACTACTATGTGTAGGTATAGTTGGCCTTCTAGTAGGTTTTCAGAGGCTGTAAATCTCACGGGAGGAGATTGTCTTTCCTGAGGAGCAGCTGGTGCAGCTCCTTACGTACTAGACCAGGACTACCTCCAACTGTAAGAGTGATTTATCGGCTAATTTCAGTGACATAAAATTGTATTATGACTATAAGAACAATTTATTGTGTTGGTAATTTCTTGTTTACCTGAAATAAAATTGAGTATTTCTGAAGTGAATTTTTTAATACTACAGTGGTCATTTTGTAAGCTTTTCTAAATTAGAGTGAATGAAGTCTCAGGCTTTGCTTTTTGCAAATAAAGTTTTATGTTCTTTCCTTTAAACAACATACTGTAAAGTATTTCTAGTGAGGAACTAATTTTTATGTTTGTGTTTTAGGAATGTTTTAAAGGAAGCTGGGCTACTCACAAGTTACTGCACAAGAAAGCAAGTAAGTAAGAATCATTATTTGGCTTAAAACTGAGTAAGACAAGAATTTCGTGAATAATAGTTGAACCAGTCTTGAAAGTATCAGTTTGAATATATTTTGAAAGCTAAGATTGTGATACTTCGTTTTCTTATGATGCTCAAACATGTAAATAAAATGAGCTGAATAATGTTCTTGTTAATTTTCTACTCCATATTTGATATGAAAAACGTTGCTATATTATGTGCATCATGCTTGTGCAGTATCTAACAATGCCTTAATCTTTTAGCTCCCTCTTTACTTTGCTTGAACTGTTTGCATGCTGCAGGCCAGGGACACATGGGCTCTCTGGCTGGCTGTCTGGATTGATTGAGTGATTGATTTAATTATTTATTTAATTATCCATCCTTTTATTTTTACTTAATTTGAATTTAGATTACCTTTCATAATTACATCATTTTGTAGTTTTATTGATGTAACATCACCCACTCTTTAATGTTTTATTTTCTTTTTTGAATTTTTTATGAGACATCACAAAGTCAGTCTTTTGACTTGTTGCTGTCACCCACATTGAATATTGGATTCATATAGTCTTTACTTCTCTTGCTATTCATTACTGCTGATTCATATTATTTATATGACTCACTTAAGACAGACCATCTCAGTTACCTGAAAATTGTCATGGGCTTTCTATTCTTTCTTTTTCCATTCATTCATTGTTGCACTTTTCTCCCCTCTCAACGCTCCCCCCTCATATACTACCCTCTTGGAAAAGTAAAAGAAAAATTCTTTCATTGTTGTACAATCCCTTCCCTCCAGGTCCACTCCACTATGCAGCCTTCACTCTGGACTCCTGTCATTTCAAAAATATGTAATCACATATCCCTTTTAAACAGTTTTCTCCCTCATCTGTTTCAGGGCAGTATACATTATTGAACCCATCTTTCTCAGTCGCTCCCCAACCCCGAGGTCAGGACTCCTGTTTTACAGCAATGACACCATGCAGTATTTGTCCTTTTGTGACTGAGATACTTCCTTCACTCAGCATAATGTTCTTCAGAGTCACCCATTTTGAATAATATTGCATGAATTCCTTATTTTTCAATGCAGTGTAGTATTCCATGTGTGAATGTACCACAGCTTCCCTATCCATTTGTTTGTTGATTGGCTCTTAGGTTGTTTCCAACTCCTTGCTATTGTGTAAAAAGCCGCAATAAACATGGGTGTGCATATATCTGCTTGGATGTCAGTTATGGTCTCTTTGGGGTATATTCCCAGTGGAATTGCCGGGTCAAATGGTATCTCTATTTGTAACTTTTTGAGAAAGCACCATACCACCTTCCACAGTGGTTGCACCATTTCTCCATACCTTCAGTCTGTATCTAGAACAGATCATCTAGACCCTGGACTGGACGAGGAGGAATGTGGCATCAGGATTGGTGGAAGAGTCATCAACAACCTGCGTTATGCAGATGACATGACCCTTCTTGCTGAAACTGAGGAGGACCTGAGGCGCTTGCTGCAGAAGGTCAGGGACTGCAGCCTTCAATATGGATTGAAGCTCAGCATCAAGAAAACAAAGATTCTCACCACTGGGCCAATTGGCAGCATCAGTATTGATGGTGAAGAGATTGAGATAGTTAAGTTTTAGTTTACTTGGCTCCACTGTCAACACTCTTACTAACAGCAGCCAGGAAACCAAGAGACGAATTGCATTGGGAAAGTCACCTGTGAGGGATCTCTCAAGAGTAATGAAGAGCAATGATGTAAGGCTGGAGACTAATCCAGGTTATAGTCTTCACAGTTACATGCTATGCATTGGAGAGTTGGATGATAGAGAACTGATGCCTTTGAACTGCGGTGCTGGAGAAGAGTGTTGAATATACCATGTACTTCTAGGAGAACAAACAGGTTGCCCTGGAAAGGGTGAAGCCGGAATGCTCCTTGGAGTCAAGGATTCTGAAGTTTCATCTGACATACTTTGGGCATGTTACTAGGAGGCATTGGTCCTTGGAGAGGGACATCATGTTTGGGAGTGTGGAGGGACGGCGCAGCAGAGGAAGACCCTCAATGAGATGGATCAATTCTGTGATTGGGGTGGTGGAAATGAGTGTTTGAGAAGGCGAGGTTGGCACAGGATAGAGCAGCATTTAGGGCTCTTGTACATAGCGTCTCTGTAAGTTGCAAGTGACTTGATGGCACATAACAAAAACAGCAAGAACTTTGGAGTGTTAGCTGCAAGCCCTGGGGCCCGTCCTACACTTCTTTTTAATCTTATGGCTTCAGATTTAGAGTTTTCTTCCATTTTTTTAGGATGCCAAGCTCACGCTGTGGAGTCCCCCTCTACTCCATGACTTTTGGCCTTCCCAGTATTCGTTGGATTTCTAATTCACTTAAGCAACTCAAAGAATGTGTGGAAAAGGAAGGTTTAAACCTCCTTAGCTGTACTACAGGAGAAAGATGCGGCAGTGTTTATGGAACAACCTGTTTCTGCTAAGATTTACTACCTCAGGAACCTGGGTGAGGGTCATTATATGTCAGAATTGACTGATTGGCAGTGGGTTTGGTTTTTTGTTGTACTTTTTAGTGCAAGGAAGGAACCCTGGTGGCACAATGGTTGGTTATGTTCCCTATTGAAAGATCAGTGGTTTGAACCTGTCAGCCATTCTTTCTTGGAGAAGGATGCTGCAGTCTGTTTTCATAAATATATTTAGCTTTGAAAACTCGCATAACAGTTCACCTGTGTTATAGGATCTCTGTGAGTCAGAGTCAGCTTCATTCACCATAGTGAGTTTAGTTTAAGAAAAGGCTAGAAACTTTCTCAGTGATTTAAAAGATATATGTGCAGCAAGCCAAGGTTATTGAGAGGAAGAATTTGTTTGAGAGTAGATAATTCAGTCATTTGAAACTGAAGACAAATTTACATAACATTAAAAGAGAAGTAAGAATTGTTTCCTAAGTTATAAGCTTATGTGTACCTTTCAAATACTCTCTGCCTGCAGCTTATAGACCCTTATTACAGTGTCATACTTGAAAAACATCTTACAAGTGTGTGTTTATATTGTCCTAAGTTTCCCAGTTTATTAAAAGACACCAATAAATAGGAAAATTTGTTTTCAACCCTGGTCTAGTTCAGACCTATTAGTTGTCAGTTAATGTGTTTACTATTTAAGATACTGATCAAATTGATCCTAAAATGGAAATGAAATGATTTTTAAAGTTTTAATTTCCATAAGCAAATTTTACCCAGAGATTGGCAAAGAACATACTGTATTTCAGTTTAGAAAGCTTTTGGGTTATATTATTTGTTGATGTCTACTTGTAGCCATGCAGATCTGCAGGAAATGCTGAAAGATTTTACATCCTCTCCCTCACCCTTCTCCTTTTCCCAGGAGTGCATGAAGACAGAAAGCTAGTTTTTGGTGCCTGTTTTTCAGATAAAAACTTGTTCATGAGATTCATGCTTCAGGAAAAAATTGCTTGACACAGTTCACAGCTGAAACAGGCACACACTATCTGCACTTTGAACTTTTCTATAATGATTGACCTTAGTGGCAGTGAATGGAGTCCATATGTTGTGCTGGGGTTTTCTGATTGACATTAACATTCACAGTAGGATAGAGCAGAGCCTCCTCCTCTTTCCCTGTATTATATGTAATGACATATTCTCTTCACAAACAATGTGAAAGATTGGTCATATTTGTCAGTTGGACCTTAAAGACGTTTCATCTAAAATTGATCTGTACTGTGTAGAAAGAGTTGGAATGGCATCCTTACACCATGCCCATGCTGCTGAGTGGATGAGATCTCTTCAGTTCCTTATCTGCAAAATGAGAAAATGAAACTGGATTTGCCTTTTAAGATTTTTTCTAGCTTATTATATGAGTGCGTCTACTCTCTTTCATTTCCTATTTTAAATAGAACCCAACACAACCCACTGCTATTCTGTACTTTCCAATTCCTATGAAGTTTGTAGGGATGTAGGAGAACTAGCGGCCCTTGGGGTTTCTCAAGGCTCTAAGTCTTTAGGAAAGCAATTTGCCTCATCTTCCTCCTGTAGAGTGACTGATAGGTTCAAACTGCCAACTTTTTTGGTTAGTAGCCAAATGCTTTTACCCACAGAACTACCAACGCTCCTAGATTGCTTAAAGAGGAAGTTTTGTTCAGTTTTTTTCCCCCTCTTATGTCTAAAATTTGTTTTGAAAGCATAATAAGCCATTAATAAGGAAAAACTCTGTGTATAGGTAGAGTATAGGTCAATTTTTTTAGGAAGACTAGAATTCCTAGGAAGTCTTGTTTTTTGGTTTTTTTTTTTTAGTTACCTTTTTTTTTCTTCCTGTGATTTTTTTTTTAAATTTAAATTTATTATTAATTTCAGTAAAAATTTACAGAGAGTTTGGATTTCCATTGGAAGTGTTTTTTTGTGCTTTGATTTTACTTGGTGGATAAGAAGGAGGTAGTGAACTGGCATTAGATACTATAGGAGAACTCCTCTGTATGAAAAGACTTGATGAGCGTATTTTAGTAAATTTAGTACAACATTGTTGTTATTATTATGTACTATCAAGTTGGAATCTACTATTGAATGGGAGATCACCCATCTTTCTCCCATGGAGCAACTGATAGCAATACAACTCCTTAACACTGAGCCACTAGAAATACTCAGGACAACATTGCATTTTAAATTTTTTTTAATATTATTAATTTTTTTTATGTACTATCAAATCAGCTCGTGGTTGCTGTGATGCTAAAGACTGTGACAGTGATGTGCCAGTCGTGGTAATGGGTACCCATGGTGGACAGTGTTGCCTGGAGCTTCCTGACTAAATCAAGCCTGAAAGCAGGAGCGGCATCCACTTCTGAAATGGCTTGCCTCAGGAAACTCTATGTACGGACAGTGCTCAGGCCGTTCGTTCATAGGGTCACTATGAGTTGTCTACGACTCGACGGCATCAAACAACAATAACAACAACAACAACTATCAAATCGGATCTAACTGGTACAGGAGGAGATAGCCCCTCCTT